GGTCATCTATTTGGATGATATTAATGTCTTCTTCTCTACATTTAACAAACATATTTCATATCTTACCGAAGTATTTGATTGACTTCGAGATGCTGGGCTTAGGTTGAATTCCAAGAAATGTCATTTCGCTAAGTCAGAACTTAAATTTCTTGGCTATGTCATTAATGAAGATTGCATTTCTACTAACTTGAAAAAGGTAGAGATCATTAAAAATTTTCTACCCCACTAGCCTTTACTAACTATAATGATTTCTGAAACTTGCATTATACTATTATTGGTTTATTCAAAATTTTTCTCAAATTACTACTCTCTTAATCAATTACTAAGAAAGAACATTCCATATACCTGGACCTGAGATCACAAGATGGTATTTGATGACCTTAAAGAAAAACTTATTATCGCATCTGTCCTGGTTTATCTGATTTCACAAAGAAATTTCTTCTATTTATAGATATCTCTAAGATTGTGTTGGGAGCTATACTTGCACAAAAAGACCCCCAAGAAAGAGAGCAGATGATTTATTATGCAGTAGAACTATAATCCTAGCTAAAAAAAATTATTCTGTAACTAAGCAAGAATATTCAGCTGTTGTTTGGTTAGTTTCTTACTTTCAACAATATCTTTATAGATCCTACTTCACTATCATTACAGACTATTCAGCTCTTAAGTCTCTATTACAACATCAACTACCAAAAGATCACCTTGCTTGGTATATTTTGGTCTTGCAAGAATATAAGTTTTTAGTTATACATCATCCTGGTTGATATCACTCAAATACTAATAGCCTCTTATGTCTTACCAAATTGGTTACTTCTAAATCAAAAAATTCCAAGAAACACATCTGCTATAATTGACCCAATACAGTCATTTTGCCAGAGAATGCCTTTTTGAATATAAGCCAAAGACTAGTTGAAGCTCACCCACTGTCCTTAATTTACCTGCTCAATTTTGACTCGCCATATTTTTATACCTTATCTCTACATAATTTTAATTCTACCTTTTAAATTTGTTAACTATTTTTATAACTTACTACTTTACAATAAACCCTAAACTTTATCAAATCTATATTAAATATCTTAGTGATCTCTATTATAAATTAAAATTAAACTCTTAGCAGCAGAACCGTTTAAAGCAACAAACCTAATTTTTCATTGTAATCAATAATAAGTTATATAAAAAATATCACCAACTACCTTATTCTCTGTCAAGAGTATTATTACCCTGTGAGATCTAATCCATCCTGTTCAGTATACATTCTGATCTACTCTTAGAGCATTTCAATAATCTTTCCACCCTCCAATGAATCTCACAAAAATACTTCTGGCTACAAATGGAAGAAGACTTTATTTAAGACATATGTTGCTAGTTGCGATATATACTAATGAAGAAATAAACTCTGAACCCGAGAACCTTTGTATTCTATTAAAGTTGGCTTACATTTTGATAGAGTCAGTATCGACTTAGTAGACCCTTTACCACCTACAGCAAAAAGAAATAAATATATCATTATGGGTATTAAGTATCTCACAAAATGGCCTGAGGCTCAAGTTATTCATGATGCTACTACTTCTTCTGTAGCTTCTTTCATTATAAACAATATTATTTGCCAACATGGATGTTTCTGAATTTTGCTGTCAGATCAAGGCAAATATTTTTTGAACATACTAATCATGGCTATTTGTGATCAGCTACAAGTGTACAATAAGTATTCTACTACTTTATTATCCACAAACTAACAGCCTTGTGAAATATTTTAATAAGACTTTTTGCGAAGTATTGTCTAAATATACTCTACAATTCTAAGATGACTGGGACTAATATATTCTACTAGCTCTATTTGTCTATTGTACTATCTGACATTCTGTTACCTACTATGAACCTTTCTTCTTAATATATGACTGAGACATCATTCTTTTCACTAAAGTTCAATCTTTAGATTCAGATGATCCTTTTTCTTCTAAAGAGAAATTACAAGAATATTTACTTCGACGAATAGAGGTACTTTTAGAAGATATTTCTAAAGCTTATATTAAAGCCCAAGTCTGAATTAAGAGATTACAACAATTGCAAAAAGCTCAACATGACTCCTGTTTTGTTCTTCAAAGTTATTTGATTGGGATCAAGTTTTTCATTATAGATTTGAGCTTGAGGAAACCCATAAAGACAAGTTAGGTAAAAAGTGGAAAGGTCCTTTTTATGTTCATGATATTCTGGAAAATAGCATTTATAAACTGAGGACTATGGATAATAGAGTCCTGAAACAAAAAGTGCACAGTAATTGTCTTAAAATATACTATCCAGCCCTAGAAGTGATTTGGAACCAAATTGATCTTTGCAGAAGCTCGATAAATAAGAAGGGGAGTTTGTTACTATTGAAAATTTTTAATTTTTCTGTACCTCAACTATGTAGAAGGTTCCAGCACATAAAAATTCTTTTTTTTTATTATTTATATTATTCTTATTATTAGCTTATCTCTGTTACTTATTAGCCTTATCGCATATAATTATTATTGTTATTATTACTTTTCTGTTATTCTGATATTTGTAATATTATTATTCTATATTTAGTTAGTTTATCTTATGATTATTATTGTATTATTATAGTGAGATTGCTGTATCCCAGTAAATGTTTAAGTGCAGATCTGCACTATTCCTTTTTTAGTCAATAATAGATTAGTTAATGATATTTCCTAATTGGCTTGACTATCAATTTCTCTAATAGTCAAATAACACATTGAACGTGTTGCAGGGTGAACTATTGTGATAAATATCATATAAACATGACATGTGTTTGTTAAAAGTGTCAAGAAGTCAAATCTGTTATGAAAATAGTTTCAATAAATTTCTTAAGGCAGGGCATAGTCATTATTTATGTTAAGCATTTATTATCATTGAGAGATAAAGAAATCAATGTTAAAAAGGATAAATCTACAGAGGAAGGAAATATTGATAGTAACCTTGAATAAATAGTCTGTATGATTTTTAAATATATTTAAAGACCCATGAGTTGTTTGAATAAAGTTTTCTCAGACATCGATTTTTTTGATATTTGAATAAATAGTTTTATATTAAATTTTCCTTTGTATTATTGTGAATACATCTTCATGATATTGTTAGTATTATATATCCTGATATCTATATTGTGAATATATCTTTACAATTATATTTATTTATTTATTATATCTTATAATTATTATAACAATATTATGTTACATATATTCAAGAACATTGATGTCTGTGAGCTTACATAATTAATTCATAAACTTTTAAACAGTCATCTATTGTTGTCTCTATCTTACTCTAATTCATTTTTCATTTACTATCACTAATCTAAACTTGGCCTTTACTGATGCTCTCCCAAAAATATGATAGTAACTCTGGTACTCAAGTTTATTTTTGTCTAAATTAACCTGATCAGAAATATCAGGTGATTTTCAAGGCAAAACCCCATATACTAATTTAAAGTTAGCAACTAATTAAATATCTTATTCATGTTGGTTAGTTTGTAAGTATAGAAGTCATTTATTTAAAATCAGCAATACTCATATTATAGTATTTAACCATTTACGATATAACTAGCAAGTAAATATTAATAATTGTTATGTGAAGACTTATGAATTTAAACTAGCATCTATATTTAACTATTAAACAATATCTCAAATATTAATTCAGCTGATAAGTACATTGAATTTAAAAAAAAATTATCAAATTTATTTATTTAAAAAATCTGAATTCATCTATTAAATTTATTGTTTATGTTAATTTAGTTTCTATAGAGGTGAAAAAATGCGTATTTTATAATAACATATGCATTAATATGCATGATATATAAAATGCACATAATACCGCATGAAAAAATTTTTTTATAATTTGTATTTTTATTAATTGCAACATATTTAAATAAAGATGATACATATAAATTCTTAATCAGATCTTGCCTACATATATAAATTTTACTAATTTGCCAATTATAAATTTATCATTGCTTATTATATAGTTAAATTATAAATTTAAATAATATAGATAAACTTACGATAGATCGGCAGTACTGAACTTGATAGGTTAATAAAAAAATTTATTTGGGTACTGTTCTTGATAAGGTTCAAAAAACGAACTCTACTACTAATTGTTTTTCACTATAGTAGTATAGTATTTAGAGGTTCTTTTTAGAACCCTATCAAGAACGGTATGTGGATTTTTTTTTTTTTTTGCAAAAACAAGTACTGACGATCTATCAAGAATGGTATCTTTGCTACTATTAAATACAGTCGATACTGTCTAATTGCATGCCATCCGTTAGAGACTTTTTCATGCATATAGACAGTATATGCATTTAAGTTATAAGAACCATGTTTGTGTTAATAGTTAAAAACCAAAAATTTTTATGCAGTTAGAGAGTATATGCAATTAGACAGTATCGACTATATATATATTTTTTTTGTTTTAAGTTTGTTAATTTTTTAGATTGACCTAAATCTGCTCGATACGATAGTATCAGGCAGTTTTTGTCTCGAATCAGCATATGACCAGGCATATGACACGCCCGATTACGGTCACATGAGTAGTTAATCAGTATTTCTAGAATGAGGTGAATATTAGTAATGAATTAGAGTAAGAAAAATGAAGTAATAATTACGATCAGTAAATCGAATCAGTAGTATATTGGTAATGATGAACGTGTATGAGTTAAGTTAATTATAGTATTTAAGTACGTTAATGGTTAGTAGAAAAAATTACTCTATTTCTTCTGCGAATCCAACACTTAGTCTGGTTTTGTCGATCCCACCCACCCCAATGGAAAGTTCTAGTTAACCATTTAATTCAAATTTTCGAGAGATCAATAGATAATCAGTAAAAATACTATTAGATGGCCTGTTGGGACGACAGTCATAGGATTTTCAAATACACGTGTAATTTTCAAGTACGGTATATTTTGGTATATTTTGTTATGAATCGTTGGCCTGCCGGGATGACAGCCATTCATGAATTAATGTGACTTGTTGGACGACAGTCACAAGGTTAGACGAAACAAAAAAAACAATAAATTAAAAAAATTAGAAAGCGATTCTAGCGAAATGCTGCATGAAATGCTCGACAGCAGAGGGAATAAACCCATATGTGTTTCTATGATATGGTTACAACAAAATGAGAGATAAAACAATACTTGTTACTGGTACAAAATTATGCTATCTATTAATATGCAAGATTTTGTACACAGTTGCCTGTAATTTATACTAATTGTAAAACCTAATATTCTATAATCATATTTAGAAGCAACTTTGAATCAAAAACCTACTAATCTTTAAGTAAATAATATTGTGTTTGTTATAATAATGTTCTTGGTTCAGAGTTGAACCGATATATAATAAATTTTATTATAACAAAATTTTTCTATATAAAATCTTTGATGGGATAAAATGCGCATTTTGTCCCTCATCGAGGGGTGTTACAAATGAAAAACAACTATGGGTTATCTGCAGTGTCTGAAATTCAATTTCTAATTTAGTTGCGGGCCGCAACTAAATAAAAAACTTTACTTG